CAAAAGAATAGATAAATCAATACAAGTATTTAACGTGGTTCGACGATATTCCTACGTTTATAAGGAGCGAAGCGGATATTTTATTTAGTATGAATAATAAGATTACATTATTAGTATTTATACTAATCATAGCCCTAATTCAATCCCACACAAGACTTTAGGATCATACAAGAAAATACACATGTACCGTACCGCCAATCTATTCAGCATCACTGTCACTGGCAAACAAATAGTGAATTAAACCCATAAGGCCGATGCCGTTGTTCCGCTCCGCTCTGTTCCGTTCGGTGCTCTCTGCTTCGACATCAATCAATTTGATCCAGTAAACTTGTGTTCCACTGTATATGAGCCACATATATTAGAACATAATAATTAATATAGATTAAGAATGAAGAATATTATAAGAAGTCTATGACATAACTATCTAGAAATTAAAATGGCGTTCACATTATAACTACCAGGTAGGCATGCACGCACACACGCATTCATGTAAATGTTATTTTTATAAATAAATTAATTGAGTAGAAAAGAATTGCATGATAGAGTCGTGGAAACGTTTTCGTTAGAAACATGACGAGGTTATATAACGCGATATGAAGTATTGATTTCAAATAACAAGAACGTGAGAAATAAAAATTTAATTTGACAGAAGAATTGAAGATTTTAGTCAACAATAATGGCAAAAAAAATTACAACAATATTGTGTCTCTCAAAATAATTCTAACCTCATTAATAAATCTAATCGTAAAGAAAAATCTACTATTTATACATCGAGTTAAAAGAAGCATTAAAAATTAATTTATGTTTTATATTTATATTATATAAATAAAAGTTCATGATATAAACTATGTAAGTACAAGTTAAAATCCCGTTCACATTATACCTACTAGGCATATGCATGCATGCATGTTAACGTTATTCATTAATATATTCGCTTGACGAGGGGTTAAATATAACACAATTTGATTCGATAGTAAAGTCACAAACGCTTATTTCTTCCATATTTTGGACCTTGGCTCAATAAAACAATATGTTACTACTGAAATACAAAAGAATTGAAACCTTCGATCAAAATACTATGTACGGATGATAAGAACTGCCAAAACAAGAATTCTTGACTAGAAGTAATGGATTCTCTTTTGGATATGTGATAGATTTGATTCGAACCATAAGTGATAATCAATATCACAAATTATACATCAATCTCATAAAATTCATGCAAGTAAATAGATTGTGCGATCAACGAGTATACTTAAAAATAGTCTACAATACTGTACAAGCCTATTTTAAAAAGTTGATAGTGACAAATGAATCGTGAAAGATATACACACGTTATGAGTTATGAACATGCATGCATCTTCGTGGAAGTGAAATAGCCCTCTTGGAAGAATCAATCAACGATAGTGATTTAAGAAATTAAGAATTATAAATAGAAAACTGCGGTGTGTGTATTGACTTTTGCTTATACGACTAATGTCGCATCTACAACTTGTTTGTGTGTATATATATGAGATGGTTTACAGTTTACCAGCTATCTAATTAGGAAATCCTGGGTGTTGAGGTAGGAAAATGGAGTACTTTAAACTGGTGATGATAATCAACATTCTTGCATTCTGTTCATTTTCAGGAATATCAGGAAGAAACTTGCCAGGTAAACAACAAGCCCTTAACTATTACTACGCGAATATCCATGCTTAAGCCTCTGTTTGGTGGGAATTAAAATCAGATTTTTAATAGATTTTGATAAAGATCGATGAAATATGTGTTTGAAAAGTTGTGAGTTCCACAAAATGTGTAGTTAAAATTAGTTGTCGACTTTGATTTAGATTAAAATTTTAATTTTAATTTCAACCAAACGGGGGCTAAATGTTGTACTCAACACTTCCGGATCCACATGACAATTTTTTATTAACGAGCCAACTTGAACTCAGGTTTTTTTTAATTTATTTATGCAGATCTTGCAAATGATCGATTTGCGTCTACAACTCCTCCTCTTCCCACAGAATCAGCATCGATGACTGTGACGATGAGAATAATGAGCTTTTCCCTGTGGACAAGAAATAATCTGTACCAGTGGTTCATGACAATTCCGAAAGGTCCCTATGGTGGCACAGATTCATCTTGCAAAAAGCACATGACAGTAACAAATCTTGGAAGGCCAGCATCGCCATCAAGGCAGCCGTCTCCAATGGCACCCTCCGGACCAAAACAGGTTTCAAACATTGAATTACCATTCTCTAAGAAACCACCCCAGAAATTAAACCTAAAATCCGCCTGTAAAAAGCACATAACAGTAACAAATCTTGGAAGGCCAGAATCGCCACCAACGCGGCCGTCTCCAATGGCACCCTCCGGACCAAAACCGGTTTCAAACATTGAATTACCATTCTCTAAGAAACCACCCCAGAAATTAAACCTAGAATCCGCCTGCAAAAAGCACATAATAGAAACAAATCTTGGAAGGCCAGAATCGCCACCAACGCAGCCGTCTCCACTGCTACCCCCCGGACCAAAACCGGTTTCAAACATTGAATTACCATTCTCTAAGAAAACACCCCAGAAATTAAACCTAGAACCCGCCTGATTTCTTGTTCTTCATCAGTTAACGTCAATTTACGTGTCCCAACACTCCTTTTATTTTGTCTGCAGTGTAATATGTAGGTTTTATTCTGCTTTCATGGAGTTATATTCCATTTCGTTTGGTCTTAATCTGTAATTGTGTCGTGTTGTTGTGTGTTTTCGCTCTTGAGTATTGATCTTAGATTCTTATTATAAGGCTAAGTTCATAGAAATATGGAGGTATTCAATCGGAAACTTGAATGAATGTTGGGTTACAGGCATATCTATGTAAGCAAGTTTCTATTTAATTTATCAAACAAATTAAACAATAAATTTACAAATTGAAAGAAGACGAAACAAGATATTCATACAAATTCAGATTCGACAACGGAGAAGAACGCGTTCTTGTGTCGTGAGATCCTCAAGGCATTGAGTCATGGACTCGATTCTTGTGAGGTCGACAAGGAAGAAGAATGCATTCTTGTGTTGTGTTTGTTATTGTTTGTCTGTGTAAGGTTGAGTTCATCGGAAAAGAAACGAATGTATTCAACATGGTTTTGCATGAATATGCATGTCTTACAGCCCATGTTTGGCTCACCTAAAAAAGATAAAATTAAAATTTAAGTCAAAATTAAAAATTAATTTTAATCACATATTTAGTCACTGTTTGATAGGGATTAAAATCAGATTTCTAGAGATTCCGATAAAAGTTAATGAAACGTGTAGTTGAAAAGTTGTGAGTCTCATGAAATATATGATTAAAATTAATTATTGACTTTGATCTTAATAAAAATTCAAATTGTAATTTCTATCAAACACATGCTTAATGTATTGAGTCAATCCACCAATCAACATCTACAATAGATAAAATTTGCTCGACGAAGAAGAACTCAATAAAGAGATTAAATAGTTATTCTTTTTCAAAAAATCAAAGCGCACTTCACATGGTGCTTCTAAGATCTGGCTTAAGCATATGTTCGGCAAGTGTTTAAAAATCGTCGGTTAAATCAATTTTTGTGTGATACATAAGTGCTACCCACTTATTTATCATTCATTTCCGTCGATTTATAATCACTTTTCCAGACAAGATTAGTTACAAGAGACATCGAGTATCATATTCTTGCTTAAATGGATTAGCCAAATGATACAAGTGAAAAAGGCTTTATAATCTTTAGCCTTGTTTGTCTATTATTAAAATAAAACCCTTTTTTTTCTCACAATAAAATATTGTACACGTAAATAAAAAAAAATTCATACTTTTTGACCACATTTTCCATAAAATCACTATTTCAAAATTTATTTTTCCAAAAAAGAAAAACTCGTTTGAATAGTTGTCAAACAGTGGCTTAATATATTCCAAATAATTTTACGCTAAACAAATAGTAATGTTTTCTGCTTTATGCGAAGAAATTAATAGTTAATTTTCTTCAAAAAAATCAGCGTGCTTTTACACGGCGCTTACGCATATGTTTGGTAAGTGTTTATAAATCATCGGTCAAATTACTTTTGTGTGACTTATAAGTATTATTCACTATTCATTTTTATCGATTTATAATCATTTTCCGAACAAGATCAATTACAGGAGACGGAGGGTATCGTATTCTTGCTTAAATGGGTTGGCCAACTAATAGAATCAATTACACAAGGCTTCATAACCTTTAATCATTTTACACTAAACAAATAGTAATGCATTCTGCTTTATACCAAATCTAAGAGCACACTTTTCAGCCTTTTAGAGTCACAATGTGAAAAGAAAAGAATTATATTACTTGTACAATGAATTTGACAATAAGTTTGACAATGTGTAAGTTGATGGACATTTTGTCCATTGATAAGAAAGACTGAATGTACAGCATTTTTACACAATAAGTTTGATAGCCTCTCACATGGGTGTGAGGCCCGCGATTGTGGGCCCCACCTCCTATGTTTGAGGGCTGTCAAACTTACTGTGTAAAAAGACTGTAGATGTAGCATTTCTCGAAAAGAAAAAGCAATTTTGAACTTGTACAAAATCTGGGTTATAAAAACAATGTTTAAACAAATTAAGAACCCCGTGCAATGTCTTGTCAATTTCAGCTTAGATGCGCATCTATCATATCTGCTAAGACACTAAGAATGCACCAGAACATCCTATCTATTATCTTACTGGTTTAAGCTTGACTCGGTTTGGCTCGATTAAAAATCGTTTCTCTATCATCTTGCGAGGAAGCTACAGTCATGTTTCACTAGATATTTAAAATTAGTTTGTGAAGTGTTTAATTTCGTCCGTGTCGAACTGTCAACACATTTTAGCCACTTTTTTACCCACTGAGGACTTTGTGTGACTTGTAAGTTTTCAGTCCCCACAAGAAACGAGGTTTCAGACCCTATATAGCACCCCTCAACTTTCAACAAAAACCAAGCATATCATTTTCCTCCTGCCCCCATTAAACGCCATAAACATGGAAACGAGTTTTATTGCATGGATTTTCATCCTCTTATGTGCCCAACTACTCCTATCAAGCCTGGCTCTTGAAAATTCCCAGAAATTCGAGCAAGAAAATCATAGTGAGAGTTAAATCCATTGACCTTTTTTATATCGTGTCATTCATTTACACTTGACAATATGTATAATGTCTATGCAGGCACTAGCAGAGTCAACTATCATGCAGATGCTCATGGAAAAGAATTTGTAGCGGAACATCACATAATCTGGACAGAAAAGGGACAGAAGGGGAGAGGATCTGGTGGTTTTGCAAATGTGGTTCCTCGTCGACCCCAAAAAAATGCATCAGCACTATTATACAAGCCTTCGTTGATCATTTTTACAACATTTTTATCTCTTACCTTCATTTTTGCCTGAATGTTAGTTTTTGGCTTAGTACTTTATCTCTTCAGTTCATTTGGTTGTGGATTCTCTCTAATTTTGTCATTCTAATCATGTCTGCAATTACACTGAGGTGGTTTCTTTATGGTATAAATTCTACTTTCTTCAGATTTCTAGATTGCCAAAAATTCCTTACAAAGAATCATATCAGAGTCACGCTAACTCAGAAAGAAACAAATAAGTCTCACATGATTACACTACAAATATTTTCTGTGGCTATATATAAAGAATCATATCAGAATCACTACAAGTTTGAGATTAGGATTCTTTCTTTCACGTTTTCTAATTTTCATGAAGGCATTGATTACATTTATCTCAAATCATTTCAAATAAAAATGTGATGCATAGCTTTCGTTGATCTTAGGTCAAATTCTAAGTCCCATTCGATCCCTTCTTTTCCGATTGCTTACCAGGTCTTCTAGTTCGGATTGCTCTGCCTTTCCCATATAGTAATCCTTTTCCTTTATGAATGTGCATGACAACTGTCGTCTGCCCTTGTCCCTCCAGTGCATGAATGCCATCTCGAACAGGTTCGCTTAAGAGCTTCTTCAACTTTGGATCATCCACTAGTCTATTAGATATCATCTCATCGTACAGTTCTGTAGCCTGCACAAACATCTTACATTTCACTAACCCTTCCACTAACACACTGTAATGTTCAGAATCTGGCACTACATCGTACTGTTTCATGTTCGACCATATCTTCAATGCATTTTCAGGTTGCCCGATTTTAAGAAACTTGCTAAGCATAAGAAGAAACGTATGCCTGCTGGGACCCAGACCGGCTTTTCTCATAAGATTAAAAAGTTTACAAGTTCCTTCTAAATTAGCACCCTCAAGAAATGCATGGTATGTCTCACTAGTTGTGTTGACATCATCCTGTATCATCCTAGCTAATATAGTTCTGGCCTCCTGAAACTTCGCTGATTTGCAAAGAGGAAGAATCATAGAGTCATATGTTGTAGAATCAGGTTGCATACCAGATTCTTTCATATGATCTACAATTCTAAGAGCTTCATTCAGGCAATTCTCACGAGTCAACACATAAATCAAAGAATTATACACCCTCACGCCGGGGATCCAGCCCTTTTTCTTCATTTCATCGTACAATCTAAGTGAGTCAAATAGATTACCGGCTCTTGAGAAGCAGGAAATCATATGTGTATAAGAAGTCCCGTCTGGCACAATACAACATCTGGACATTTCCCGCCAAACCCTCTTGGCTTCATATATATCATTGGCTATATTACACCATCCATTGAGAATTATGTTAAAGCTCTCAATTTCCAATGGGAAGAACTTCTTATTGAGAAACACGAATTCTTCAGCTTCTTCAATGTTTCTATGTTTATTAAGAATATCCAAGAATGAGAAGAATGTTCTCTGATCAGGAGAAAATTTGAACTTCATAAATATTTTGAATGTTTCAATAGCCTTGCTTGGGTTATTTGCTGCTGCATATCTATAAACTTGTATTACAAGACAATAATAAGAAAAAAGCAATAAAAAGGAACGAGAAATAAAATCAATGTTATGTTGCCCCTGTTAGGTTCAGCTAAAAAATTGAATAAAATTTGAAGTTAAAGTCAACAATTAATTTTAACTACACATTTCATGATACCCACAACTTTTCAACCACATATTTCATCATCTTTTATCAAAATTTGCTAAAAATTTGATTTTTATCTAAACGAGATAGGGGCTTTATATAAAAGCTACAAAATAAATAATGGTAGACAATAATAAATCATTTTACAGAATTTTATCTAATCAAAATAAGTAATGTTCTAACTTGAAGTCTACTAAATGCAAAAAAGATCAACAGGGTTCTATCAGCTTACTGGTGAAAGTTCCAGATATTAAACAAAACTGGGTAGTTCATGTACAAAAAAAAATAATAGGGTGGTGCGTAAGCAGTGTAGAAAAAGGAGCGCAAATAGTCAATTCTTATTTATAGAAAAAAAAAACAGCAAAAACAGAGAACAGATTACACAGATGATCCTAATACCATACATAAGCGATGATGAGTAATCAGGATACATTTGATTTCGCATAGTGTTAAATAATGCACACTTAAAACAATGTTTCCGTCAAAGGAATCAAAACCAAACAACATCCAGAATGTTTGTGTCCATAGTAGGCACTTGATTTCTTGAATAATATAAAAATTACAAGAGAAATTGAGCTACACCTTGCTATGAACAGGTTCAGTTCTCCATATGATTAAACAAAAGTGTCAGATAAAGAAAATTAACTTGATATTCTGGCTTTGAGTAATGAAAATTAAATTTTCAAGTAGACAAATAAGAAACAGGTTGTAGTAAGAAGTAAAGAAAGATTCATAAAGTTAGTAGCACTACAATCTTTACAATGCATTAAAATTAAATAAGGAAAAGAATCTAAAAAGAAGAAGTGCATTGCTTCAAGAAGTAGATTAATTTTCACCTGTCAATCATGATGAACATTGCTTGTTGAGCGTCCATTGAAGCCTTATAAAGGTCATGAATCAGAGTCCAAGCAGTGCTGAACTTTTGATGGTTACCCAGCAGCCATATCATCAAACACCGAGTCTCTTCCACAACACATTTCCACTTCTCACCCCACTTGAACACCAAAAATGCCAGTTTCCACTCTTGTTTTAAAGCCCAGATAGCTGAAAAGATCAAATCTTTACTTGGTTTCACACCAGAATTATCAAGAAAGGACATTGCTTCATTTGCACATGCAAAGTTCTTGGCTTTGTGGACAGTTTCGAGGAATTCAGGGAGAACCAGTGCGATATCTTCCTCAATGTCATTTACCCATTCATCGAAGTCGATTGTTTGGAAAATATTTTGGCTGTCTGAGTGTTGAAGGGAGGAGAAATGATGGAAAAACTTACAATAGATGATAGACGTTCGACGAAATGCTTCAGTGAGATTGTATGGCAAACGAGTCAGATGAAAAGATGAAATTTGGGGTTGACTGCCTAGAGAGTTCAAAATATGGGAGAAGAAGATCGCGGGATGTGCTTTAGAGATTTGGAGCCTCCTACAAATCCTAAGAAAAGACATATTTTTGCTGATTTCATTACAAGCTTGCTTTGAGAATTATAGAACCGCGACCCGCCCAGTACATGAGGTTGCTGCGGTTGGTGAGTGCAAGCTCGAGTTTTTCAAGTATAAAACCACCCTTAAACGTAAAAAGGCATTTTGCGACTAAATAGAGGTGTCAAAACTGGCAAGTCCATTCGTTGTGGATAGGTCGAGATCTAGTCGGAGCCTATTCAAGGCTGCATGAAAATCTTTTCTATATACGTGAATTCTATATTTTATTCGCGAACCATTGATGTGTATAGATTATATATATATAGAAAATTTTGAAAATTTGGAGGAAAAAACTCATTGATCATTCGACTTATTGTCATCTCGTCAATCAAAATAATGAATAATGATTAAGTAATCTTAGATTCTGATCAAGTCAACATAATGATATTAAGCGCGTCATGGTTCCAATGATTATCAAATGTTTATGTGTTTAATTCGAGAATCCACATTATTGAACCGAAACAAATCTAACATTTGTAGTTACAACGGTATCATTATTTTAACAAAATTAATTGAACTAATTGTACGATTTTATAAAAATACTATATTCACATACATTAATTTATTTTACTTTTTTGCTGTAGTATTATTTGTAATAACACATTCACACAATAAAATATTGGATCATACTACATGTACCGACATTTTTTACATAATCTCTTATTGACTACTCACAATAGGGCGGTGGGGACCACATCTTGAAATTTTTTTATTCACGCGGGCCCGCATGCATGTGAGATAGGATAAACAGTTCGGTACATTAAATTCTGTACTAATATCTTTACCCTAAAATATTCTACACGTAAATTCAAAAATTTTCCATACTTTTCAACCATATGTTCTCCTAAAAATACTATTCAAAAGTCGTTTTTTTTTTTTCCAACTAATTGGAATCAGACTATCACAAACTTACAAAATTAGAACGGATTTCAATTTATTTAGCATTAAATCACACAAATTGCATTTTCGAACGAAAAGAAAGAAATGCGGTGACTTACTAATTCCACGTGTATAATTATGATTGGCTGTTAAATCCACATGGCAGTCCATTGTCGTCATCGGTCAGTCCTTATCCCTCAAGTACAACGCATATCCACCAAATCAAACAGTAAAAATGAAAAAGGCTGTAAATAAGCATGGCATTTTTAGTAATATTATTAAAAAGGGAGGTGAATTCCAATCACTGCCCCCTATTTGTCCCGTTATATATTCACATTTTACACTACAGTTTCATTTAATCAGCCGTCCGACGCCTCTCTCAGACAGATCTCTTGATTTTCGCTCTTTGGAGAATTTTCCAAGTTGATTTTTACTTTTTTTTTTTTCAAGTGAATCGATTTGCATGAATTCGTAATTGGATTACAACCAGATCGATTCGGCTTCATCTCGATCTCAGAGTAATCGAATTTTTCTTTCTAACTAAGGTACATATCTCAGATCTCTGTTTTTGGAGCTATTTATTATGAAACATGCATTGGAATTAAGTGAATCGAGCTGTCTTGAATTTGTTTTTATTTGTACGTATCTGTTCTGATCTTTTGATTTATGTATCTCGGATCTTGGTGTCGCTTTGTCAAGATTGTTGTATTGTTTTCTTGCTCGGGTTTATGATTATTCTGAATTTTGTTTGGTTTCTGTATCGTGTGTGTGTACAATCTTAATTGTGCTGCATTAGGCTAAATCATAATTCACGATTTGCGCGCAAATGAATCGAAGATCTGCACCATCATTCACATATTAGTATTTGTGGGATTACGAGATTCGTTGATTTGCATACTCATAATAATTCTTGAACTGGCCCTGAAATTAGAAGATTTGGAATTTTTTCTGACTGGGATCTTTAGATTATTATATGATCTGTAATTTACTGTCTATTATGAATTTTCTTTGTCAGGTAGATCTTCTAAAATGATACATTTGTATTAGTTTGTAAAGATGGGTACCGGTCAAAGATTTGGTTTTTACGAAGTTTTCGTCTGTAACCAAGTTCATTACTTAAAGGTTTCATCTTTGCAGTTGGAACTGTGTCTTTTATTTGGTTCTTATTCTTATTTCTTAAAGTGACTTTCTCAATGGTACCAGTGTACGAGGGTTTTTTTTGTTTGTCTATTAATTAAGACACTTAAATAATATAGATGCGTTTTTACCAAAGTTTTTTTTTATTTAATAGGCTCCTTTATTTAAAGCCTGGTCTTTTTTATTGGAACTTTATTCTTTTCTTTTGGGTTTTCCGGTGCATCTTAAAGCAATTTTCAGTGATGGCACTGTACTTGACGTGGGAGGTTAAGGTTTTATCATTTATTGGCTGTTAAGACATTAAATAGTTTAGATTCGAATTTTTATCAAGTTTTTGTTTTTAACACGGCTCATTAATTAAAAATTTGATCTTTCCAATTGACACTTTAGGCTTTTGTTTGGGTTCTTGATTTGCGTATATTACTGCAACTTTCTCAATGATAGCATTAAGCGTGGCCTTGGAAGTTAGATTCTTTGATTAATTTTGTTGGGCTATTAGTTAAGATGGTTAAAGAATTTATGATTGAAAATGATCGGAAATGAAAGTATTGACTGCTATAACTGTAATTGTTATTGGGACTCGAGTGGTCTTTCTGATTATAGAAGCTCGTTCGTATGCACATGGGTATTTACGTAAATGGTCAAATGATGGGTTGAAACGGTTTCAGTTCCTCATCCAGGGTTGATTTAATTTTTACCTTTCTGCAGACCTTGAGCTGTTGAAATGGCATCAACAGCTGGAAACTCTGGATGGTTTAGGGGGACGGTGAAAGCTGTTCCATCCGGTGACAGCTTGGTGATAGTGGGAGGTAGCAAGGCAGAGATTCCCCCAGAGAAAACAATCACTTTGTCATCTCTGATAGCACCTAAATTGGTATGTTCACTCTATATCTTTGGTCACTTTAAGCTTGATGTTTGTTTTCCGAGTGATCATTCAATTGTGAACTGAACAAAATGTTTACTGGATATTTTTACTTTGTTCTGAAGTTTCATGATTTCAGTTTCTTTGTGGTATCTTTTTGGAAGAGAAATAGATTAATCTTTTTATTTTTTAATAATATGGTCTCATGGAAGAGCTGTAGTTTATATACAGGTTTTGGATAATCTTGACCAGTCTTTAAGCCCTTTTGTGAAACTATATTTTCTGTTCAAACACTTATCACACTTCATCCTTGGGATTTTCTTTTATTTACAGTTTACCTCATTTTAATGAATGGTGGCATTGTTCATACTGTTGTGCTGGAATTTTAATAAGAAAATATATATCGTAGTTGCAGAGCTATGCCAAGTTTTGTGGAAGAATTGGCTCATATTCACCTTATAACTTACATGCTTATCTTATGGTTCACTGCTCATTCATTTGGAGTCATAGAGTTTCTTTAATTTGGCTTGGACTAATTAATAGTGAGTCATTCATTTGATGTATGTTGCGTACTATGTTTCATGCACTTTTCATTTTCCTTCTCATATTTCTTGAATTTTCCTTTTGGTTTTAGGCTCGAAGAGGCAGTATTGATGAGCCTTTTGCATGGGGGAGCAGAGAGTTTTTAAGGAAGCTTTGTATTGGGAAGGTTCTTAGTACTAATTAGTTTCGTTAATAGGTTTTATGGTCTATTCTTTTACAAAGAAGAATATTCATTAGTTCTTTACTTCTATTTTCGGCCAATAGGATGTTAAATTCAAAGTGGATTACACTGTACCATCCATAGGCCGAGAATTTGGATCTGTTGTCTTTTCCAGTGATGATACGAATATCTCCTTTCTGGTTGTTGCAGCAGGCTGGGCTAAGGTGACATTTTCCCCCAATATTACTGTTGCCAACACCTGTATATATATTTTGGCATCACATGAATTCTTTGGCTGCAGGTTAGAGATCAAGGTCAACAAAAAGGAGAAGTTAGTCCTTTTTTATCTGAGTTACTACGTCTCGAAGAGCAAGCCAAGCAACAAGGTCTAGGTCGTTGGAACAGAGTATGTCTTAAATTGTTTTCTGCATAATCAGTTCCCCGTACCCAAATATATCATCGTTTTAATTTTCCATTTATATTGGTTTCTACTTTGATGTTCTATGTTTAATCATTATATTAAGGATGTCATGTTCTCTAATTGTGGCCTATTTATCGATGGATCCAGGATCCAGGTGCTTCTGAGGCATCTATTAGGAACCTGCCTCCGTCAGCCATTGGAGATTCTGGCAATTTTGATGCTATGGGCCTCTTGGCCACGAACAAAGGTAGTCCTATGGAGGTTATTGTAGAGCAGGTCCGAGATGGGAGCACACTTCGTGTTTATTTGCTTCCAAGTTTTCAGTTTGTCCAAGTATTTGTTGCGGGAATTCAGGTATGTACTCATAGCTTAATGCAATTTATGCACTACGTCACAGTGGTTTGGGTATTCTCTTTTCCAGCTGGTTTTCGATTTCAATTTTTGTCTGTTTTACTTGTTTTACCAGTCCCCTTCTATGGGCAGAAGGACTGCATCCGAAGTTGTTATTGAAACTGAAATATCCTCTGATGAGCCAAATGATGATTCTTCAACTGAACCTCGTGCCCCGCTGACATCGGCACAAAGACTTGCTGCTGCTTCTGCATCTGGTACTGAAGTTGCGCCTGATCCATTTGGGAGGGAAGCCAAACATTTTACTGAGATTCGTGTTTTGAATAGAGAAGTGAGTGATTTTCTGATGGCTGTTGCATTGGTACCTGATTTTCACAGATAGGCTTATAATTCTTATTGGGTGGCTTCCAGGTCAGGATTGTTTTGGAGGGCGTTGACAAATTTAGCAATCTAATTGGTTCAGTGTATTATTCAGATGGTGAATCAGCTAAGGACCTGGCATTGGAACTTGTTGAAACTGTAAGCCATTTTACAATCATATGTTGAATTATGATAAGCATTATAAATAATTTTGTTTTGTAAACCATTATCATTGTCCGCTTCGTGAATTGCATATAGTAGAAGGAAAAGAAAAAAAAATCATATTATAATAATTGCCATGTTCAGCTTATAAGTGCTAATTGTAAATGGGAGTGCAGAAACAATTATCCTTGAAATAAAATTTTCTTGCCAAATGCTTATAATTATCTTGATTGCTTGACTGGGATGAGCTTGATACAGAAGATGCAAGTTTCTCCAAATGCATCATTTTTGTAAATTATGTGATGGAACAGGGGCCAACATTTAACATTTTTTAAAAAATCAACTCTTCCTTTTGCCATTAATATTGAAATGAGTGCCTTTTCGTTCATAATACGTCTCCTGAAATGATTTGTAGGACTATACCTCGTCACTATTTCATAGGCCAAACTACCTAATTGGATTGTCAATTTTCATCGGTGCTTAATAATTTATTTGTAATTTTAATAATGCAAGAAGTTGCCGTAAAGCTGCTTGATGTCTACTATCTGCTTATGCCCTTAATTTTCCCCTTGTGGAATTTACCGTCAGCTCTTCTTCCCCGTCATGTTTATGCAGGGTTTAGCTAAATATGTAGAGTGGAGTGCAAGTTTGCTGGAAGACGATGTCAAGCGGAGGTTGAAGAATGCTGAACTTCTAGCCAAGAAGAGTCGATTGAGAATGTGGACAAACTACGTCCCCCCGGCCACAAACTCAAAGGCCATTCACGACCAGAACTTTACAGGAAAGGTAAGTTTCATTTCCTGGTGTTACCTGCCTTGTTTTATCTTCTGGTTTCTTTCATTTCGCGCACTCCTATAATTTGGGTTTCTGCAGGTAATTGAGGTTGTTAGTGGGGATTGCATAATTGTTGCTGACGACTCTTTGCCATTTGGAGATCCATCTGCAGAGCGGCGTATCAATCTCTCAAGTATTAGGTGCCCTAAAATGGGTAACCCTCGTAGAGATGAAAAACCTGCTCCTTATGCTCGCGAAGCAAAGGAATTTCTGAGAAATCGTCTAATTGGCCGTCAAGTATGTGTTCTGAAATTTTTGTTGTGATTTACTATAATGAATTTGTGTCACAATTTTAATTTTGATCCACATCTTTTCAGGTGCAAGTTTCTATGGAATATTCAAGGAAGGTCAGTATGGCAGATGGACCTGTTGCTGCATCTGGGGCAACTGATTCGAGAGTGATGGATTTTGGATCTATCTTCCTTGTTAATCCAGCTAAGGATGGAGATGGTACTGCAACTGCTGCTGGAAGTCAGCAGACGGGTGCAAATATTGCTGAGCTTTTGGTTGCCCGTGGCTTTGCGAATGTAATCAGGCACCGAGATTTTGAGGAGAGATCAAACTACTATGATGCCCTTCTGGCTGCTGAATCACGTGCTATTGCTGGCAAGAAGGGTATGCATTCGGCCAAAGACCCTCCCGTGGTGCACATAACGGACCTGCTGACTGTTAGTAGTCTGCCCTTCATTTAGCTTTTGGCTATTATCATTTTCATGTAACTTACTGGATTATAATGGCTCATTAGGCTTCTGCAAAGAAAGCGAGAGACTTCTTGCCGTTTTTACAACGCAATAGGAGGATGACTGCAGTTGTCGAATACGTTCTTAGTGGTCATCGGTTTAAACTGTCTATCCCCAAGGAAACATGCAGTATTGCTTTCTCGTTCTCTGGTGTTAGATGTCCAGGTCGCGATGAACAGTATTCTGATGAGGCCATTGCACTTATGAGGCGGAAGATAATGCAGAGGGATGTTGAGGTATTGCAGTACTCATATCATGCTTCTTTACTTTGTATTTTTGCATGCCTTCCTGATTAATATATTCTTGCACTCAGATTGAAGTAGAAACTGTTGACAGAACTGGAACTTTCTTGGGGACATTGTGGGAGGCCAGAACCAACGTGGCAGTCACGATTTTGGAAGCAGGATTGGCGAAGCTTCAAACTTCTTTTGGCACTGACAGGATCCCTGACGCTCACCTTTTGGTACAGGCTGAGCAGTCAGCAAAAATGAAGAAGTTGAAGGTGAGTAACACAACCTTTTTCTTATAAAAACTGATTGTTATTAGTCTACTGGCTGCTAATTTGTATTTTACTGTAGATCTGGGAGAATTACGTTGAAGGAGGAGATGTTTCTAACGGTACATCTGTTGAAAGACGTCAGAAAGAAGAGCTTAAGGTGCTGCTTAGAATGTACTTGCTATGGCACTTCCGTTATTGCATTTGACACGTGTTATAGCTGATTATATATTTATCTTCAGGTGATGGTTACTGAAGTTTTGGGAGGTGGTCAATTTTATGTCCAATCAGTTGTTGATCAGAAAGTGGCCGCCATCCAGAAGCAGCTTGCTTCCTTAAACCTTCAAGAAGCTCCTGTACTTGGTGCCTTCAATCCGAAAAAGGGTGACATAGTTCTTGCTCAGTTTAGTGCCGATAATTCTTGGAACCGTGCAATGGTATGCAACTTGAAATCCTCTGCTTGTTTTTAATTCAAGTATGTTATGTCCTGGGAAGTTCGTACACTTGGATTGAGAAACTACCCTCAGAAAGTCTATTATGTGTTTACTCTGAACAGTTGCAGATGTTTAGTGGAAGTGATCAAACTTAAATACCACAAAATGTTAGAATATTCTGAAATAATGTCAGTACATATTAAAAAATTGATGGGTATTTTTCAAACATATTTTTGTAATCCTTCGAAATTTAAGTGTCTTGTAATTTTCCTGAACTTGTCCCATTGCCATTTTGTGGTTAGTTGTTACTCTAGATCTTGTTAGTTTTCTTTCCCCTGTGAAAAATGGCACAATTCATTACCATAGGTCCATAACTGTTAAAAAAATTGTGTAGTTTTATGCTTATTTCTAGCCATATGCTTTAATTCATTTCGGTTTTCTCATTCAATATCTGTTGAGCCGTGTTAGCAACTAATCCTTATTGTTAATATTTCTAGTCCATCTTTTATGGAACTTATTAATTTGTTCTTGTCTATATTATTTTTATCATTCAAAATATATCACTACATTGTTAGTCTTTCTAATGCACTCTTAATTGGAATATGGAGATTGTAAATGCTCCTCGAGGTGTTGTGGAGTCTTCAAATGACAAGTTTGAGGTGTTTTACATCGATTATGGAAACCAAGAAGCAGTTACTTTCAGTCAGCTGCGTCCTATTGATCCTTCAGTATCCTCCGCCCCGGGCCTGGCTCAGCTTTGCAGTCTTGCATATCTCAAGGTTCCAACCGTGGAGGAGGATTATGGTCAAGAAGCAGCTTTTCGCCTGAGTGAACACTTGCTAAGTGGTCCAAAAGAGTTCAAGGCCATAATTGAAGAAAGGGACACATCAGGTGGCAAAGTTAAAGGGCAAGGAACTGGTACCATATTCATGGTGACTTTGGTTGATCCAGAAGCTGACATCAGCATAAATGCTACCATGCTACAGGTTCAAACGTCTATTTTCTCCTCTGGAATTTTTTTTGTTAACCTTGCTCTTTAAGCGTATGTCCTGTACTCTGAATAATTATATCAGCATCCCAACATCCTTTAGTATAGTGTATCCAAATAACCTTGCTCTTTGAGCATGTGTCCTGTGCTGTGAATAATTATATCAGCATCCCAACATCCTTTAGTAGTGTATCCAAATAGACGCTCAACAGTTATAGCACATTATTACCTGTTAAATAGATGACCTTGGAAATTGATTATAGGGTCTGTATAATGGTTGTGGGTAGAACATTTCCCTAGTATTCCTACTACATGAAGGAATTTTTTTGCATGTGTAAGAGGTGCCAGACCTTGTAATCTTCTCCGTCTGCAATGGAGTGGACATATTCTCATGTTGATGGTGAACCATATAGGACATCAGGGTTGAATCCATAACAGAATCAATGGTTTGTCGATATTATATTACTTCTGTTTTAGCCAACTGTTAAAATGAGATCAAATATGTAAAATTTTCAGGATGGACTTGCGAGGTTGGAGAAAAGGAAGAGATGGGAGCCCAAAGATAGGCAGCTGGCTATGGATGAGCTAGAAAAATTCCAGACAGAAGCACGAGACAAGAGACTCGGCATGTGGGAATATGGTGATATTGAGTCAGATGATGAGGACTCAGCACCACCTCAGAGGAAAGCTGCTGGAAAGCGTTGAATACAAGCTTTTCTTGCCTGTATCAGTATCAGAACCAATTCTACCTGCTAGAATCATATTTTGAATTTACAGGCATCAAAATTTGCTGATAGAGCATATAGACGTCATGTTTATCATAAACATAAAACTCGGCCCATGTTTTGTCGTTAGGAGGTGAGAGAACAGTTTTGATTTTTTTTTTTTTTTTTTTTCTGGAATTCACTTTTATTTTTTTTTTTAATTTATAGAACTTTTAATAATGCAACCTCCTGTCTGTGATGACATTTAGTAATTTTAAAGTTTTGACTCTTTATAATTCAAGTCTTTATTTTTTTCTTCACAATGGGGAAATATTTTTTGCTTGTTTGCTAGTTTATAGAGTGATTTGTATGCTTGAAAAGTCGTACCAATTGGAAGGTTTCAACACACACACACACACACACACACACATATATATATATATCGTCTTTTTGAAGTAATGTCTCAAAATCCCACGAAATTTTTTGAATTGTTTTAAGAGATAAATAGTGGAAATGCTTGAAACTTTGAACGAGATGGATTTATTCTTCTCACGGTCTTTGCAAGGGTGCGTTCTTTTTCTTTCACCTGAAGCAAATTAATTTTTTGCACAAGAAATTAATTTGATGATGATGATATATTTCCCTTTTATATAATCACTCGTGCCAAAAATTGAATCTTCACGTAATCCGCAAAAGGGTTGCAATATTGAATTCTTGAAATTAAAATTCAGTCGAGCTTTGGTCGTGTACAAAACAGGGGATCGGTTCGGGCCATAGATCGCCGACTTTTTTTCTTTTTTCTTTCTTTTTTAAAGTAACAAAATAAACTCAAAAATAAGCATTTGTTGTAAATGGTAAATTTATTAGTGAATGACTACTGTAAATATTAATCATAAAATTATTAATATTTTAGAAGAATATTAATCATAAATGTCCATTACAACTAATTTGTTGTTTCTCCTAAAGTAACATAATATTGTTAATATTTTAAAAGAATATTAGTTGCTACAGAAGAGCACGATATTACAGTTTCAATATTTTAGAACAATATTGATCGATTTCTCGTTAAAATCACGAAGTAAATTACTCTATTTCTTTACCTATCCATTCTTCTGCATACATATTTATATATTGATGTTCTAGTTAGATTTCATATGCTCCTAGAGACTATAATTAAATAATATCTAACATAAATTATATTACTTGCTTTCGATGAGCGCGTGTTATAGTTTTCAATATTAAAGAAGAATATTGATATATTGCTCTTGAATAAGTGATAATAAAATACGCGTTCTCAAATTAACACATGTTTTGAAGAATTATCATGTGTAATTTATGAATTTGTATTTATCCCTAAAGAAAAACACATGACTTATGTCATATTAATATTGATTAGTTTGATTGATTATTATATCATTATATAATGTTTAATCATATATTTTCGAAATTAAATAATTAAATTATATCTTATATTGAATTTGAAGTTCAATTTAATTTTATTGTTTGACATGACTAGTTATATCATTACTGGATCAACAACGATGCAAAATTAAAAATTCAAATGGACATTCAATAAAGAACCCGAAAATTCTTCGATCCAATGAATTTCTATATATTGTTTGTTCTCTGTATCGAAAATTCATCATTAAACATTATTAGCTGAAATAGGGATTAAATTTCCTATATTTTTGAAAATTAATTAGGGTGATAAATGGGGCCAATCATCGTCCACGCTGACCATTTAGTTATTATTTGTATCAAATAAATTTAATATAAATACTAGATAATTGCATAGTGTTCACAACCTGAAATTTGCAAAATTATTGCTCAAATTATGAGCATAATTTTCAAATTATATAATCAAAACAATGTCTTGTTCATACTAGTTTGCATAAATCACAATATTTAATAAGTATTAGTTGGAATGTCGATAAATTGTTTAACATTATTGCTTGTTAAATGCCTCTGTTAATTTAATTGAGAACAAATTGCTTCTCTTTTTTTGTTTAGGGAATGTTATTACGCATCATGACAATATCATAGTTCTCCCCATCATAATTTGTTTATGGTAGTGCCTAATTTCTTCATCAGATTATTAGATAATGCAATTAATCCACAACATTACACTGAAATAAAAAGTAAAAAATGTCGAGAAAAAATGTGTAGTTTTAACCCCTATCTCAAATGAGTGATATTTAATAATGCAATTTGTTGATTGGAAATTGTTTTCAACATTAGGAGGATGAATTAATAAGTTGGAAATAATGTACAAATGCATCATTTCTAAATCCTTGTAAAAGATAATCAGAAGTTCGAAAGATAATTTATTTAAATGCATTTATTAAGTAAAGAGATTAACAATATCTTACACAAGTTTTAAATGATTCAACTTGAATTAATGTCCTCAGAGACAATTAGTTTTATTATTTGATAAATTTATGGCACATTTGAAGCGTGATGATATTCGATTCTAATATAAAATCTCCAAATGAAAATGAAGTAATTAATAAAAATAGTCCAATTAAGGAGGCATATACTCTTGATGAGTATTTAGACATAACATGTTATAAAATCTCAGACAAGGTTCATGTATTAGAAATAATGAAAATTGAAATATATCAATAAGTTATGTCATTATAAGGAAAAAAAAATAGAATCGAAAAAGAAAAAGTTGTGGATAACACTTTTACAAATGAAATACTGCATCATATTATGAATAGCAAGGAATCGAAATATATTTGTTGAAACATATCGATCAAAGTAATGAATGGCCAAATAAAATGACGCGATCATACTGAAGTTAAATTTACTAGAGAAACTTGAAATTTTTGGATATGATCCTAATATTAAACTTACAAGAGAAATTGGAAGTTTCGGATCTACAGTTTGAACATCTAAAGATATATACATATGTGAAATGAAAATGGAAAAAAAATAAAGTCGTAACACGAAATGTACAACTCTTTACATAATGAATTTCGCGAAAATTAGTATAAATAGATAAATTATCATGTGGTGATATTTGATATGTATGCAATAAATGTGATTACAAACAATTTATATTGTATGATTTTAATACTATGCTGAAAAGATTTAATATGCTTGAAGCATATAATTCTCGCAATATTATCATTGGGGGTGGGGGTAAATAAGCGTTGTACTCTTTTTTTCTTGACCAATGTTTTGTTCCATTGAATTTTCTTGATAAGGTTTTTAATAAGACAACTTTTGTAATATACTTAAAATAATAATGTACTATTTCTTTCATTAGGGTTTTCCCAAAGTGTTTTTCCTAATAAAATTTTAATGAGACATATTATTTATGTAATGAATGTCCATAACATAAACGACATTTACCCTCAAAATAATGTTTTTATATTATATAAGAACCATGAAGAGATCAACAATAATTATTTTCGAATCATCATGTTACTACATCATTAAGTTTTGTTCCACTAGATTTTCTTAACTGAATTTTAACGAAACAAATTTTATAACGTGTCATTTAAGGAAGAGTATTGTAAATAGTAAGTTTATTAGCAAATGATAATTGAACCCCTATACCCCTAAACATTATTAACATTATACCCTTAATTATTCCCTATCAATATGAAACTTTGATTTTTAATAACACACAAATTTATTCACTTCTCTATTTAATTCCCTAGTTTATAACATCATTGAATTCTTTCCAAATAGAAATTGATTGTGAGTTGACAAATGAGCCAATCCATGAGCCCAAACGAATTGGCTCACGACTCACGAGCCTAAAGGAAAAATGAAGCAAACTCCACTGGATTCATTGCTCATTTCAAATTAGCTCACGAGCAGCTCAAACTGTTTGCCAACCTAAATTAAATAATCATAGCATTTAAATTTTTGGTTTATAAAACTTGTATTACGTAAAAACATCTCAACTATATTATTGAAAAATCATAAAAACGAGTCATTTTCTGTGAATATGAGCAACAGAGCAGGTAATTCAAGTTGAAAGTTCAAAACAAAGTGCTCTAGTTCGAAAAACTATAGCCAATCATATTCAAAAATTTCCTCGATTGAATAACCACGCATAAAAACACCATAATCTCATTCGATCGTCTAATATACATTGCCATACACTACTATAACAAACCTAAATAAGCAAAAAATGCATAAGTGAAAATATTTCAGGATAAGAATCATCTGAAGTCCAAAATCTAGAGTTGGCTGACCACGAATCATTTATGTTTTAACTTCCATTTTGATCTTCACCCCCTAAGTGTCAAGCCTCGTATTCCTCCGGCGAGGAGCCGCTGCAGCTGCAGCAGTAGCATCATCCTCATTTTGCTCTTCCTTCTCCTCAGTGCTGCCCTGATTGTTGGAAGTCTCAGCAACATCAGGTTTCTTTGTTTCCACAACCGTTTGGGCCTGCATAAAGCAAAATATTACGTGAGGAATGAACAGAAAATGAATATAACTGGAGAGTGTAAATCACAGGCAACAAGATCCATTAAGGTGGTACTTAAAGTTCTTACAGGCTGCTTCTTCCCGCCAAAGATTATCTTCAATAGCAGAGTTAAGATAACAATTATAATAGAGACGAGAACTCCAATTGTCACATTTGGTTGCTTCTCAGCCTTCTCAATAAGCTCCTGCAAATCAAATTCCAGGTCTTTGGCAATTGAATATATCAGAAAAATACTTGATTCACGAGAATACTGTTGTTCGATGACTTACCAAGACCTTGACCTTGTGATCACCCAACACAGGGAGGTCTGCAATCTTGTAGAGGTAATCAAATACCACTTTCTGCAACAATTAAAAATTGGTCGATATTCAAACTAGCAATAAGCAGATTGTGAAAAGCATGCATAGGATAAGATTGTTTAACTAGTTACCTGAAACCCTTTAAGACCCTCTGAATCAGTAGATTCCTCCTCCTTTTGTTTCTCCTTCTCTACCTCAAATTTTGGCTTCCATGAACTAGCCCGGTAGGTTTCTGCAACTTTCTCATTAGAAGCT